TTTCCGCATCTTCACTTAACAGTACCAAATCATCTGTATATTCCAGCACAGGTATTTTTTCCAATCCTCATTTAAAGCTTTTTCGGTGTACGTATTATCTCTCTAAAGCAATGTTCTAAAGTTAAATTAAATTGGACTGGTGAAAGGGTAACCTGGTTTATACCCTAATGAAAAACAAATTGGTGTAAAGAATCTTGATGGTCCATCCCTTTTTATGATAGGCAATTACATTTTCAAAAAATGTTACCTACTAAAATTTAATATATGATTTGTAGCGGGGCCAGAACCAGAGAGGGGCAAAGTTTCCCGAGATGGTAGAATTTAGAGGGAATTTAGTTTTTCTTTTTTTAGTTTAAGTAAATATATGTTTTTCTAGTTTTTGGATGTTTTAACTTTAATTCAGTTAATAATACGATTCAATTACATCTTATGATGTTTATTTCGGAATACATAGCCTAAAATACTGATATAAAATGTTGGCTTTTATTGGAGAGGGGGGGGGTGACAAAATTTAGCTTATCCCTCCTCATTAGTGCCAATATAACCGATGCGATGCATTGGAGCGCAGAGACTGTAACAGGAGCAATGTAAAGACATTTAAAAGAATTGAAAACAAAAATTGTCTTTAAAGAACTGATTGATTATTTATTGTGAGTGTAATTATGCGCTCTACGTTTAAGATTGGGTTTGAAAAATGTTTGGAGGTTAAGGTTAATACGCAACAATATAGTGTATCCGTAACTACTTGCATAAACAGAGTTAAAACTTCTTTTATTTCTGTGGGATTACAACGAATGCCTGGTACTCATAGTAAATATATATTTGCATAAAGGTGAAGACTATTAAAGTGCGAGCAACAGCTAATTATAAAATAATATTTAAAAGCTGATGACCTATTGCCTATTAACTTATTACAAAATAATCAGGATGCAAAAATTAGAAATCACTGAAAGAAGTATACGGCAGCTATTTGCTATTTATTAACCATTTTTAATTTCAAAGATTATCAAATAATTTATTAATGTTCCTAGGATTGGTAGATCTCCTGTTAAATATTTAGGTACTTCTTGTCTAAGCGGCCGTTTTGAAACCTCACTTCTTATCTATCTTATCTAACATCATGTCATCATCTCACATAACATCCCTCTTCTTATCCCTCCAAACTTTTGAGTTATTGCATTGTTTAGTTTTCAGTTATTCCTTTATTACGTGCCTTTCTGTCAAAATAATTGACAGAAGGGCAACAACATTATTACAAGCCATTAAAGAAAATATAGAAGAGGGAACGACCATTTATTCGGACTGTTGGAAAGGATACAACACCCCACAACTGAATGAAGCAAACTATGACCATTTCCAAGTGAATCACTGGTATAATTTTGTCGATCCATCAACTGGGGTTTATACTCAACACATAGAACGATTGTGGGGCTCAGCTAAGTGGAGAAATAAAGTACGTAGAGGAACTGCCAGACAACACCTCGATTCATATTTGTGGCGGCGGGTTCACAGAGAAGAGGACCCATTCCTCGCTATTTTGAATAGCATAAAACAATTTTGCCTTCCAAAATAAATAAGACAAAAGGAAGTGAATAATTAACTTCAAATAATTTGTTGTTTATAGTGTTGATATTTTTTCTTTTCTATGTAAATATGTTCTTTTAAATTTTTTTTTTTATTTTTCATTTTGATGTTTTATATGTACATATCTTCTTAAAGTGTTTTATTATTATTTTTTTAATATATTTGTCGTAAAATAAAAGTATTTTTGTTGTTATTACATTTGTTTTTGTATCTGTTTACACTTTCAATAATACGAATTTAATACAATAATAGGAAGATGTGAAGTAGGAGAAGGCTTATCACTGGGTTATGGGAGTTATCAGTGTTCAGGTTATAAACATTGGCAGATAGCAGTCATTAGCGGCCCCTTAGACAAGAAGTACCAATATTTATATAAGTTAAATTAGTAAAATTAAATTGAAATTAATCAAGTCAAAGCGAAATCAAATTCAAACATAGCTGTAAACAAACTCACCTTAATTAAACTTCATTACAGATTTTTCACTTCTGTAGCATCTCACTAATACATATTTACTGATTCACTACTCGCGTAATTAATTTATAAAATGTAATTCAAAAATTTCTTATATTCAACACTTAAAATAAGATAAAAAGAATGGAGTAGGGTTGTTGAGTGTTGACTTGTAAATATAGTTATAGGGTGAATTTTTGAAGAAGGTAGGGAGGATGTCTACAACTTTTTATGTCTGATCATTGCCGAACAAACATGAACTTATTTTTTTCGCAGACATACACTCAGCAACTAACAATTTTTTTCTCTTTAATCTATAAACAAAATAAATAGTTATGTTAGACCAGTACTGGCCTTATGACTGAGCAATTGCCTAGGGGCTCAGATTTAGAGGAGCGCATAAGAATTAATTTTAGCCTGTTAATAAAGCAACTGAATTAGAGACATGATCATCAAAATAAAATTAAAATATTACTTAATATAAAATGTAACATCTCTCTTATATTTTACAAATAATAATATAACCTCGGAAGCTCACTTCTTACCATTGGGATACTTCCTAAATAAATAAGAGATTGTTTAATAATAAACAAAATTATAAGAGAATTAATATATTTATTTACATCAGGTGTGGGTTACTGACAATCAGATCAATTCAGACAAACTATTATTATTTACACTATTTATACTAAAATTAAACACTGATTTTAAAATAAAGTCAAATCTGGATTGGCAAGCTAACCTTTTTTCTATAGATACTATTTCTTCCTTTGTTGCCCTAAATTCATTTGTCTTCAAATACTTTCTAATGTTCTGCCAAACACAACTTTCTGGGTTTTACCCACTGGAGCCAGGATCCCTTCTGCTATCCTCTCTTCACTACAGCCACACAACAACTGCATGCCAAAACAAAAATCTTTGTCCCTCTCCTCTTTGGGACTTTTCTTCTTGGGAAACTACAGAGCAGCCATTTTCTTTTCTCTGCACTAGTAGAACTAGATTAGCTTGTCTTTTAATTGTTAAACATTAATTTATTAAACCCTTTTTACTCATTTCCAATAGAGGTGTACATTACAAAAAATATAAGGGGAGAGGATGAAGTCATTGCCCGGGGAAACCAAATATCTAAGACCGGCAATGTGTTAGTTACTGTATTATAGAATGATAAAAGCTCCTGACATTATTTATCTATTATAGATTAAAAGGACCTTTTTATTTGCATATATTCGTATATTTCATATTTATATATTAGTTCTAAAAACGTTCTGACTACATATAATGACTATTAGTTTTGTAAATAAATTAAAAAATAATTTTGTTATGAAACACAGACTCCACGGTCAATTGATTGCAGTGCGTCTGATTTTCATTTTAAATCCAAAAATATTATTTTTGTTATGTTTTTGTAATTTTGATAAATAAAAAGACTTGTCCCTAATCGGTGGCACCCACCACGTAATGGCTCCCTATCTGTGGAACTGCAGCAGGCAAGGTGCATCCAGGAGTGTCCATCTCCCCAAGGTCGATGGTGCATGAACTCCCCCTCCCCTCCGTTCTCCCATAATATTTCATTGTTCTCCTATTTTTAATAACAGCATAAACCAAAGTATAATTTTAGAAATCATAGGTCATATAAATTACACTTTCAGTGGTCTGTTCTATATTTGCCTCTTGTTCTCTGGTTTGAAACTTTTCATTTCGAAAATTCATAAACCCCTCGAAATGTGCCCCCCTCAAAAATATTGATGGTGCAACTTGTCAAACCAGTTTTCTTATTAGGAATAAATTTCTATCCGCTTTGAGAAACATATAATTCTTTAGCGATTGGATTTCGGTGGCCATATTCCAGGGGCGTTCATGAAATAGTTTTAGGCGATGCAAACGCAAAGATGGGAAAGGAAGAAGTTTATTTTCCAAGGATCTTAGACAATTTGTTCAACAAAAACTAATAATTAACACTATAAAAAAAACCTTTCTTATAAAAAATGTTTTGTACTTTAATGTTATATACTGTAGAAAGAGAAATTTCAAATAATACCACAGCGCCACTCTCCCCCCACTCAACATCCACCACCAGGAACTTCAATTATGTTGTATATAACATAAACATGAACAACTGCATCAGAACCTACATCTATATGATTATTTTTAATCAATGATTTTTTCCTTTGTTACCTGAAATAATAGATTTAGATTTAAACATTGCATGATGTTCTTTTTCTAGATTATCTAAAATGTTAAAACTTAGTAACTAATTATAATAAGTGAACTTTCTAAATAACTAATTCTCTTTAGTGAATGAATTTGTTTATATTTTGTATATATAATACGTACACAACTACATAGATACATTGAAATATTCACTCACTAATAAGTTGAAGTTAAATTATTTTTGCTCTTTGAAAATATTTTATTTTAAGTAATGTTATTCATTGATAAGTAAAGCATGATTTATGCATAACATTTATTTTATAACATCATGGTATTATTAATTTTTTTTTATTATAATCTAAAAATAATCAAATTCAATAAAATATCTATTGTTAAATTTAATTATTTTTCTCAAGTGAATATGAATTTTAATAAGTCAAATCTGTTATATTTCCTTACCGTATAATTTTATTTTTATTTATCATATATTAATATACCAATGATGGATTCATTTTCCTTTGTTTTTTATAAAAATATATGTTTTTTAGTATTATTATTAGATATTAAAATAGAATTCACTATGATATGGTAGAGTGTAATCAATATCTATCAAATTAGAGTGTTATTGTTTTTGTCAGTTAAGCCAGCATCTTTATGATTTATTTTAGAAGGTAGTATTAGTTTAATAAACTACTTATAGAAAAAAAAGGAAATGATAAGTTCATTTATGTGTATTACATATGGAGTTATATTTGATTTGGGATTCATTTAGCATGTAATCTGTAGAGGTTAGTTTAGTTGTTGTCACGTTCAGACGTGTTCTTCTCCGTGCTAGTCGCTGCTCCTAAACAGCTGACACTTGAGAGGCAACTCAACAAGAGCATCTTGATTGGATGGAACCCATCAGACTCACCATCTTCTCCACCAATTGACTGCTATCACGTCTACGTTGACAGAGTGCTTAAAGTAACAGTTAAAGCTACTGAAAGAACCAGAGCCTTAGTGGAAGGAGTTGATTCAAACAGGGTAATATTTTTTGCTTAATGCATGATTTTGTCATTTAAGACTTTATTCACTATTGAACATAATACAGTGTAGCCACAAAAATGTATATAAACATTTAAGTATATATTTTTCAGAGGTCATTCAATAATGATAAATAAAAAAATGTTACATTCATTTTGTAGATTCTACTTATTTTGTAGATAAGAAAATGTAAATTTGATACAAATTCAAGTAATGATAATTAAATAAATAAAATTGCAAACTTTACTTTTGTTTAGATTATACCTTTTTGGGAATCTTGAAATTTATTTAATATATTAATCTGGCTTATTATATTATTTGTTTTATTTTGAATTAAAAGTGATAATCCTAAACAATTCCAATAAATATTTGTATTATTGCATTACAAAAAAGTATCCTTTTTCCCCCCAACTAGACCTTCTTCATACTTTAACATTGCCTATTTATTTTTTAGTAATCAATATTAATTTTGAATGTAAATTATAGAAAAACAGTGAAGAAAATCAGCACAGAAATGATAATTATGTCTACCACTAGGTGACAAACATTTTATAAGAAATTTAACTGGACAATACTCTATGTGTGTAGTAAATCATTATTTATTATTAAAGCTATAAAATGTAAAAAATCAATTTTTAAAAGGATTCTATTGGTGAAGGCGAAAATGTTGCTGTGGTATAATTATATAATTCAAACATATTTATTCCAACTATATAGAATTACTGGTCTTACACAAAGGTAAAGATTATTATATATATGGCTCTACAGGTTTTTGTGACTCTTGGCCTTCCAGGCTATATTCCTCCCTCCTTCACAGTCATTGGCAGTGCTCCTCCAATTTACTACACCTAACTTTACAGCATTTCTCGCCACCTCATCCTTCCAGGGGCTCCTAGGTTCCTATTTTTCTCTTCTTTTCAATGATTGCCATGTCTAGCATCTTCTTCTGAATCCTCTCAACGTGACCTGCCATCGCAGCCTGCCTGCTTTTATAGAATTAACTATATCTTGGTTTTTCAGTATGGCTGCAATTTCTGTGTTGCTCTTGATCCTCCATTTTCCATCAATCTTTACATCTCCGTATATCTCTCTTATAACTCGTCTCTCAAAAACTCTCAGTTTTTGACAGTCTATTGATGGTAGACACCAGGTTTACGACCCGTAGGTAACAACCGACTTAATCAGAGTACTTTACAGCTTCAGTTTGGTCTTCCTGGAAAGAATCTTTGATTTGAGGAGTTTCAGGTTCGCATAATATGCTCTATTTCCGCTCATTATTCTATTTTGCATTTCATGGCTAATCTTGTTTTCTATATTTTATCGAGAAGCTGAAGTGAAGCTGTTATGCTTTCAAACTTATAATTGAGAAGGGTGATCCCAATCCTGCTACCTTATTTTTAATATAATTTCAAAGGCTTCCTTTAGTGCTGCTTCACTTCTGTAGATAATAACCAAATTATCTGCATACCAAATTTACCAGGTTTTATTTGCTAGCGTTCCAACTTTAATTGCATCTTTAACTGCCGAATGTAAGGCCAATTTGAAGTGTTGCTAGTGTTGCCCAAATGTGAGACCAAGACTCGTCCTGGTCTTGTGCACTTGGTCTTGGTTTCGCAACAGTTTTGCAGTTACCTATTAGCTTATTACTATAGAGATATTACTGTAATATTTTAGATAGGAGAAACCTAACTAAGCCCAAATGAAAAATTAGAAGAGTTAAATACAGAAGTATATTGGTCATACCAATTCTTTACATATAGTAACTAAAATTGTCAAATATCGGTAACTATTTTGGCTTAATTTGTATTTAAAAAATCGATTCTGTTTTACCAGTCTTGGTCTTGTAACAATTAGGCAGTCTTGGTCTTGACACTAAATGTCGCCGACAATGCGCGGCCCTGCCTTACTCCAGAGACCACATCGAAGGCACCACCCACTTTGTTCCCAATCATAACTTTGGCAGCAGAATATCTTAATGCCATTTTTCTGAGCCTTATAAGTTTCACAGATATACCATATTCTTCGAGGATACTGAATAGAGCAGCTCTTCTTTTCACACTGTCAAATGCTTGTTTATACTCTATAAATAGAAGGTGAAGGTCCAAATTATATTCATAGAAAAGTTCCATAGTTTTTCCTAAGACAAAAATTTGATATGTTGTGCTCCTCCCCTATCAGAAGCCGGATTGGTATTCACCCAAATTCTTTTTAGTATAAATGTTGAGTTTTCTCATAATGGCATTAGAGAGCACTTTGTAGAGAACCTCTAATTACGCAATACCTTGATAGTTAAAGAAAAATTCTTTGTAACCTTTTTTAAATATGGGACACAATAGTCCTATATTCCATTCTTGTGACATTTTCTTGGTTTTTCAGATAACAGATCAGTTCGTATATTATATCTTTCATTTTAATAATACTATTTTTAATTTGTTCTGCTATGATTTTATCTTCACCTGGTGCTTTCCAATTTTTTAAGGCTCTAATGTCGTCTTCTATTTCTACTGTAGTGGGTTTTATTACAGTGGATTGCGTTACTTGATTATCATAATTTTTATTTTCAAGAACTTTATTACTATTTTTACTATCATCTTTACTATTTTGATCAGCTGCGTTAGTTACATAAACCACTATAAGTCAATAAACCACAAATTATTCATTGAACCTGTTGTTTATTCAACGTTTTGATCCCAGTTTTTATGCTAACAATCTGACCCTCTTCAGTGCTGAACAAATAGCTCCAATCGTAATTTTTAAGTATAAAAATAGATACGAAGAAGAACCTATTTCATAGAGCCATTGCTATAAGTTCGATTTCTTTTAAAGAAGAAAATATAAAAAGAATAAAAGAAATATTGAAAGATAATAGTTACCCTAGGAGAATGATTAAAAAATGCCTGCGAAGAGCGTATAATTGTTTGTCACTACCAGAATAAGCAGAACAATCCAAAACATTATTTTGCAATGGAATTCATACAACCATTATCCTTTAAAATAAACATAAATTTTCGTGGTCACAATGCCAGTATAGGTTATAGGTACCACATTTTGAAATCAGGCCTAATCATGAACCCACCACCGTTCACAAGCATATTATTCTCAAATTTTAATTTATGTCAAAGAATTAAATTTAAAAAATACATTTTAATGATCCTCCAGGACTTATTATTCAAAAAAAGTGAACATACTGCCCCAAAATAGCGTCCAAACACTTTTTGAGACTGACGACTTTGACTTGAGTTAGTTTTTTTATCACTGAGAATCAGCATTTAACTGAATTTCTTCATAATTTGCCTTTTATTAAAGCTGGATAGTCAGAGAATAATAAAACATTAAAAAATAATTATTAAGTGCATGTAATCTTAGGCAAAAAAAAAAAAAACAGTAAAGTCAATTTTTTCAAAAAGAAAATTTTCAAGTTTGTAATTAAATGCCCAACAATAACGAAAAAGTTTTACAATAAAACATTCGGAGAATACAATATCTTTCTAAAACACTGATTACTTTTTAAAATATTTGAAGCAGTTCCGTATAAAATTCCCTTTAAGTCTTTAATCTGCCATGTTTGGACGCCATTTTAGGTCAGTGCTTTCACTTTGTTTGTGGGACGATTTTTTTTTGTTTTTTTTATAAATAGTTACAAGGAACACAACAATATGCAATTTATAAGGATGTGGGAAGAGGGAGTGAACTGTAGGGGAGTCTGTCCCGCTGTGTGTGTATTTGGGCTTTGGGCTCAGGACCAGGGGGGCAGATGCTTGTCAGCCCAGTTGCTTAATATCTGTGCTAATGCATGGTGCTAAGGCTATCAGCGTGTCCCTGGCCTGAGGTATTGAGTATCTATTTTAAAAGTATGTTAAATTTTGGAATAATTATTATTTGAAACATATAGAAATAACATTGTGTACCGATTGGAGCCATTTGTTGTTCTAGTACTAATCCCATTGACAAAATAAAAACTGGGATTGAAACGTCGAAGAAACAACAGGTTCAATGAATAATTTGTAGTTTATTGAATTATAATTTAGTGGCCTAATTTCCAATTTAAAAATTATGTTAAAATATAATACTCAAAGGTTGATTGAAGAAATTTTTTAAATATATATATATATATATATATATATATATCAAATTAATTATTAATTATATATCCTTCTCAATTTTAGTCATTGTAAACCACATTTTGAAATCAGGCTTAATCATGAACCCACCACCGTTCACAAGCATATTATTCTCAAATTCTAATTTATGTCAAAGAATTAAATTTAAAAAATACATTTTAATGATCCTCCAGGACTTATTATTCAAAAAAAGTGAACATATTGCCCCAAAATGGTATCCAAACACGGTGGACTGACGACTAGAGTTAGTTTTTGTCACTGACTAGAGTTAGTTTTTTTGTCACTGAGAATCAGCATTTAACTGAATTTCTTCATAATTTGCCTTTTATTAAAGCTGGATAGTCAGAGAATAATAAAACATTAAAAAATAATTGGCTTAGGCAAAAAAAAACACCAGTAAAGTCAATTTTTTCAAAAAGAAAATTTTCAAGTTTGTAATTAAACGCCCAACAATAACGAAAAAGTCTTACAATAAAACATTCGGAGAATACAATATCTTTCTAAAACACTGATTACTTTTTAAAATATTTGAAGCAGTTCCTTATAAAATTCCCCCTTAATCAGCGGAAAAGCGGTACTGGCATAGGCGCCTGCAGCCCTCTGCCACATCATTCAGTACTCATAAATGGCATAGTTATAGAGCTATAATAACGTCTTTGTATATTATTTTTATTGTATTAAACTAATATTAATGTGATAAAACAATTGTCCAAAATTAAAAATACATTTTAATGATCCTCCAGGACTTATTATTGAAATATATTGAAAATGAAAAGTTTTTATTTTTAGGTAAACATAATATATTATTTCAAACAATATTTATGTTATGATATTAATGTGTACGAACTCTAATGTTGATGCAAAAGTATAATTATAATAAAGGAAGGAGATGGTCCGGGGTTAAAAAAAAAAGCTAAATAGTGGCAAAACTATTTTATTAAAAGACAACGTTTCGGCCCGACTTTGCAGGTCTTCTTCAGGGCTAGAAACGACAAGATACAAAAAGATATATAGAATTGTGGAAGTTACATAATATTAGGACAAAAAATTATAAACAATGTGAATAAGCTTATTAAAATTATAAACAGTAAGTACATTAAAATATAAACAGGGTAAGCTAAGTAACAAGATCATAAACTGAAGTAAATAGATGGTAACAATTGTTGTAGTGTATATAATATATGCAAATGTGAATATACTTCTACAGATCTACAGGAGAGATTGAAAGAAAAGGAAAAGGATATAATATGAAATAATAGACATAAAGGAATGTGGAGACAAAAAAGAAAACCAAAAATAAATAAATAAGTATATAAAATTAGAATAATAAAAATAGAGACTTACAGGGGTGTTCAGATAGGAGTTTCACTTAGAACTGGAAAAGCAGGGTAAGGGCAGGTTTTGGGGAATTTGCTGACTTCTTTGGGTAATGGGGAAAAACCTAGAAAATTACAGTATCTAAAATTTGAAGATATGGATGGATACAAGGGAAAAAAATATTATATCTATGAAATAATAAATTATAAATATATACATATACATATAAAATAAAATTAAGAGATTATAGATAAGAGTACAATGTGAATAGAACCAAAAATGACAGAAGTAAAATGTACATAGAAGTAATATATAAATATAGAAGTAAGAGACCATACATTGCAGTACTAATTTAGAAGTATAGAGAGAGAAAAAAATGCGAATAACTATATTTATATTTGGTTGTACATATGTAAGAAAATTACATTTAAATATTAGATAATTTTTTTTTTTTTTTCCTATGCCTAAGTAACGCCTGCTTCATTAGCCTGCGTGCTCTTGCAGTCCAATACAGTTTTGCTCTCCGAGCATAAGGGCTGTTCATTTCATTAAAGGAACATCTTATGTCCTGTAATGCAGGGCATGTATCCAGATGTTCTCCTGTCATCATGTCTAAGGAACATAGAGGGCATGTCGGGCTATCTTTTACACCGATGCGGTGGAGGTGCTTCTGAAGGAAATCATGGCCTGTGAGCATTCTAAAGCATGCCACGGCTTGCCCTCTAGGGAGGTCTCTAGGAATCCTGCCACTTTCTTCCAGCAATCCACTCCATCGTTTCCCTTCAATTGTTTGTACATATTTCTCTTTCAGTGAACTTTGGAGGGTCTGTTTTATGATTCTTTTTGTTGAATCCATGGCCAGAGGAATATCGAGTTGGATCATTCCAGAACCTATTCTGGCCAGTTTGTCAGCTTCGTCATTTCCGTGGAGCCCGCAATGGCCTGGTATCCACTGGAAAGCGACTTCTGTCCCATTTTCCTTTAATCGGTTCAAATATTGATGGCATTTAGGAACATTTGGATTTATATTATATCCATTTTGGAGAGACAAAATGGCTGCCTGTGAGTCAACAAAGGAAGCAATTTTCTTGTCTTTCCGTTCAATTAATCTCTCAAGGCCTAGGAGAATGGCTTTCACTTCCCCTTCAAAGTTTGTGGCTACCTTTCCGACTGGGGCGGCAAGTTGAAACTCCTTTGAATAAACTCCAGCTCCAGCATGTTTGCGTGCTTCCAGTGCAGATAATATTGAGACATGGTTTAAAAGTAAAATGAATATAAAGTTAAAATGGTTGATCATACATTGATGTAGAATGTAAATATAAAATTTAAATAAAATAAAAGAGAAATCATACAAAGCGGAAACACTTAGAATAATGAACAATTAAATTGAATTAATCAATAAAAATTGAAAGTAGATAAAAATAATGCGATGTAATATGTAAGTTATTTTTCACTTATAAGATTTAAAATGTGTCTATATGTTAAAGAAATGCAGGTTTTATATACTTTTTGAATGTGGATGGATTCGCAAATGAGTCTTTTTTCATGGTTAGGGGCCGTGGCAAGAACAGAGGTTTTTTAAAAATCAAATTAATGGTTGAGGGTTAAGGCATGTTCTAATAGTTTGTAGGCGGTAGGGTTCTGGGAAGTTATGGATGTTTTATGTTGGGAAATGCGGGTTTCGAGATGGTTTTTGGTTTTTGCCAATATAGGAGCTATTACAATTAGGAGCAGCGCAAGATATCCAGTAAACTACATTAGACCGGTGTTGTAAAAGTATGGAATCCTTCAAGTTGTTGAAAAGGAAAGAAAGTTTGTTATGGGACTTAAAGCCAAGACGTAAGTTGGTTATAGTCAATTTAAGGAATTTTTGTATATTATCTGAGAGAATAGGAATATAGGAGAGAGATTTGTATATGAAAGGAGTGGTAGGTGATTGTGGGGAGTTGAGAGAAGGGGAGGCTGTACTATTTTTGGTTGTATAGCAGTTTAAAAGTTTAAATATAGTTTTGAGAGGGAAATTATTGGAAAGGAATATATTTTTGACACGCTGAGGGTTGGCTTGATGAATAAGATTTTTGGCGGTATTGATTTTTTGGTGATATGGGTATTGAGAATAAAAGTTAAGTAGTCTGCCTGAGTACATGGGTTTAGTATACCAGTCAGTAGAAACATAGTCGTCAGTGTTTTTTATTATTATGAGGTCTAAGAAGGGGAGTGAATTGTTAACCTCTTTCTCTATAGTGAAACGAAGAGGGGGGTGGTAAGAGTTGAATGCGGAAAGAATTTGAGGAATGCTGTTCAGGTTAAGAACAAGAAGGAGGTCATCGACATATTTTTTGACGAAAATGATGTTGAAATGATGATGAAAATGATGTAATTTTCCATGTCTTTTTTTTTTTATTACTTTTTCTACTTACCCCCTCACAATTACCCAAACAAATTTCATTTGTTAATTACACAAGTCAACAAATTTCCCCAATACCTACCCTTACCCTGATTTTCCAGTTCTAAATGAAACTCCTAGCAGAACACATCTGTAAGTCTCTATTTTTATTCTTCTAATTTTATTTATTTTTTGGTTTTCTTTTTTCTTTTCTTTCTCCACATCCCATGTCCATTATTTCATATTATATCCTTTTTCCTTTTCTTCTAATCTCTCCTGTAGATTTGTAGGAGTATATTCACAATTGCGTACATTATATTTTATATTGTACTACAATTGTTACCATCTATTTACTTCAGTTTAGGATCTTGTTACTTAGCTTACTCTGTTTATATTTTAATTTACTTACTGTTTATAATTTTAATAAGCTTATTCACATTGATTATAATTTTTTGTCTAAATATTATGTAACTTCCACAATTCTCTATATCTTTTTGTATCTTGTCCGTTCTAGCCCAGAAGAAGACCTGCAAAGTTGGGTCGAATCATTTGCTTTTAATAAAATAGTTTTGACACTATTTAGCCTTTTTATGACCGCCACCCCGGACCATCTCCTTGCTTTATATTACAACGGTCAACTATTAAATATACATTAATTATAATATAATATATTTATTCTATGATGCTTAAAAAATACCATAAAATTAAGATTGTTATTAATTTGAATTTTTTTCTTCTTATAGCCACACAGAATCAGTGTAAGATCAGTCACTGTTAATCGAAGAACATCAAGAGATGCAGCATGCACTATGGTTATTGGAAAAGATGTTCCCCTAGGCCCAACTAATGTCAAAGCTAGTAGAGTAACAGCAACTTCTGCTGTCATCTCTTGGCTTCCTAGTAATAGCAACTATCAACATGTTGTTTGTGTCAACAATGTGGAACTTCGAACAGTAAAACCTGGTGTATATAGGCATACAATAACAGGTATTTTTAAAATAATATCTTTGTTTACAATTCCCCATCTTCAAGTACTCTCATTATTGCTAAACAATATTTTATTATTCAGGACTGGCCCCTAATACAGTGTACAGAGTAACTGTTAGAGCTAAAAATATAAGAGCTCCACACTTTGATGAGAAGTCCAATATTGCAATGGAGCGCTACTCTTGTCATATTGATTTCCGCACTCTCCCAAAAGGTAATAAAAATTATATATTAGCAATTTATAAATAATTTTGTAATATATACATATATATATATATATATATATATATATATATATATATATATATATTTATTTATATATTATGTTTATTTTTTTATGTGAGCCTATATGGTTATTTCTATATCTCCAATATAAAAAGAATTTATGGTCAAAGAAGACAATATAAGCAAAAATATACACAAACAATTAGTATATGGTTATACAAAACATTTATTATATGTTCAAATTGAAAGGCTATGAAATCTTAATTATAATAACAGTTATGAAAGTGACAAAACATAAATAAAACACATAGATGTGTTGCATATTAATCTACTAGTAGGTGCACCCAAAACCAAGGCACTAAGTTCACCACTCTCATTTATTTTCTATTTAATCTTACTGTTCATAGATTATTTTAAATTTGTGAGAGTTAGGAAAAGAAAAATATCATAATTAAAAAAAATATTCATTCGGTTTAAATAAAATAAATAACATTCAAAGTATTATTAATACTTATTTTTGACTTCCACTTACATATATATGAAATATGTAGTAAGTTGATTTATTAAGATCATGAAAAACTTTGGATCAGACTATTCAAAAGAAGTCCGAACACAGTGTAACAGTAATGTGTGAAAAATATATAGTACCCAAAATAGTCATATTTTATATTAACTGTCAACAGTTCATGTTTATTGTTAAAGTAATATTCTTAAAGTTTAATAATTTATTTAAAAATTAATTTCTACTGAAAGCAGAGTGGTAAATGAAAGTTGTGTAATGCACTCACTACACTATTTTTTCCAACACTTTAAAAACTAAAATTTAATCAATATTTTAAAAAATATTTAGACCTTCTTTGCACAATGCAATTAGATTAAGAGGAAAATTTTCAAAATGAAGAATAAATGATAGATATAATTTTGTACGGCCCTATCCGTAAATTTGAAAAAAAATCCTTAAAATATGTTAAACAACAAAAACTTGAATAATTGGTAATTGGTTGACTGTTGTGGATAATAAAGAGAAGAATAGTTGGGGTGCTCAGTCAAAAAGGAAGGCAAAAATAAATGATAATATTTATTTTTTACATATGCCGACGTTTCGACCTGAAGTTCAGGCCTTCATCAGGGCTAAGAAAATAACCAGATAACCAGGTATTAGAAATATAAGTAATGATGGTAAAAAAAAATAAATAAAATAATAAAAAATAAATAAAATAATAAAAAATAAAATAAATAAATATAAAGTAAAATGAAATTGTTAGAATAATGACTAAGAACTAAGAGATAAATAATAAAAACTATGAGATAAATAATAACTAAGAGATAAATAATAAAAACCGTTACAAAGTGTGGAATGATGAAGTAGGCATAATCAAAAAGGGTGACAAAAGTGTTACAATGGGAATCTTAGAATAAAAAGTAAAACATAAAAAAAAAATATGAAGTTATATAAGAAATGAAAATAAATAGTAAAATTAAAACATTGAGAATGGAGTAGTTAGATAGAAAATTGAGATATTGTAAAGTCTATCAAGATGTACAGACAATGTATAATATAATAAAGAGTTAAAAACAGAGAAAAGGAATGAAAGGAAGGAGGGAAGAAATTGAGAAAGCTGAAATAAGAAATAAATAAAAGAAGTACTACCTGTCTCCTTAAGTGTTGCAGGGAGAATAAAAGTCGTTACAAGGGAGGGGGAGAGAGAAGAGATGTGTAGGTGGCGTCATCTCTAACGGTTATCCGACGAAGTTTGAACTAAAGCGCTGGAAGCGTAAATAGGTACGAGAGATATATTACTCAGAAAAATTATGGAAAATTGAACAAAAGTTAATAGAAAGTGAAAGAAAAATAACTATTGAGTAATAAGGGAGAAAAATTGAAATAAAAATATATCATATATATACATATATATATACATATACATATATATATATATATATATATATATATATATATATATACACACACACACACACACACACACACACACACATACACACACCCACATATGTATATGCAAATTCTTACTACCTTCCTTACAAATCTTCAGCCACAACAACCCTTATGATGTACAAAACTCATTCCATCTCCGTGAACAGCTACTCTCCTTTACCATTGCAGACAATTTCATTCTTTACTCCTTCGATATTGAAAGTTTATTTACGAACATACCCATAGACAAGGCACTTACTATAATAGACGACAATTGGACTATCATTGAACCTCACACCTCACTTAACCGCTCCTTATATCTCGAATCCCTTCATCTATGCTGTAAATCAGGGTACCTCACTTTCCAAGGACAATTTTTTAACCAAATCTCCGGACTAGCAATGGTAACCCCCTTGCTCCCGACATCTCCAACATCGTTCTCAATGATCTTCTAGACTCCATTATCCCTCTTTACCCTGACGATATCATCTTTATTCGAAAATACGTAGACGACCTCCTCCTAATCATCAATCCAAATAAAATTCCTGATATCCTATCACATTTTAACTCTTACCACCCCCGCCTCAATTTTACAGTACAACGCGAACTCAATAATTCTTTCCCTTTTCTCGACCTTCTAATCATTAAAAATCCCAATAAAACCATATCCACAGACTGGTACACTAAACCAACTTACACTGGCAGACTCCTAAATTTCCATTCTAAACATCCCTACTACCAAAAAATTAACGTTGCGAAAAATCTCATCCACCGTAGTCTCTCCCTCTCTGATCCCCAATTTCATGTTACCAATATCAAACACATAAAACAGATCCTGTCAAACAATAATTTTCCTCTCCATGTCATCAACAAACTTATAACAGACCACAATAATCGCTCTTCCTTAATCTCAACTTCCACTAATTCTCCACAACCCATTTCAGCCCCTATATACAGATCTCTACCTTATATTCCTAACCTTTCAGACAACATCAACAAACTTTTACGATCTACTAACCCTAACTTACGACTTGCATTCAAATCTCACAACACACTCTCTAAATTATACACATCCCTAAAAGATCCTGTTCCTCTCTCACACCGCTCTCATATCGTTTACCGTATTCCATGTTCTACCCCCAATTGTTTTTCATCCTATATTGGTGAAACCAAAAATCTCCTAAAAGACCGCATAACCCAACATAAATATTCTGTATCCTCTCGTAATTTTACCGCTTCCAAATTATCCGAACATTCTCTCTCCCTCAATCATTCATTTGATTTCGACAAAACATCCATCCTTGCCACAGTTCTCAACCATGACAAACGACTCATTTCTGAAACCCTCCACATCCAGCTTCAACCAAAGACAGTGAATCTAAAATCTGACAAACAGAACTTTTCTTTAGCCTACTCCCAAATTCTGAATTTATTAAAACATCCATAGTTATATTCCTTTCCCTTTTGCTGACAACTTCCTTATATATATATATATATATATATATATATATATATATATATATATGTATATATGATATATTTTTATTTCAGTTTTTCTCCCTTATTACTCAACAGTTATTTTTCTTTTGAATATTTCATTCACTTTCTATTAACTTTCGTTCAATTTTCCATAATTTTTCTGAGTAATATATCTCTCGTACCTATTTACGCTTCCAGCGCTTTAGTTCAAACTTTGTCGGATAACCGTTAGAGATGACGCCACCTACACATCTCTTCTCTCTCCCCCTCCCTTGTAGCGACTTTTATTCTCCCTGCGACACTTAAGGAGACAGGTAGTACTTCTTTTATTTCTTTCTTATTTCAGCTTTCTCAATTTCTTCCCTCCTTCCTTTCATTCCTTTTCTCTGTTTTTAACTCTTTATTATATTATACATTGTCTGTACATCTTGATAAACTTTACAATATCTCAATTTTCTATCTAACTACTCCATTCTCAATGCTTTAATTTTACTATTTATTTTCATTTCTTATATAACTTCATATTTATTTTTTATGTTTTACATTTTATTCTAAGATTCCCATTGTAACACTTTTGTCACCCTTTTTGATTATGCCTAATTCATCACTCCACACTTTGTAACGGTGTTTATTATTTATCTCTTAGTTATTATTTATCTCATAGTTTTTATTATTTATCTCTTAGTTATTATTTATCTCTTAGTTTTTATTGTTTATCTCTTAGTTCTTAGTCATTATTCTAACAATTTCATTTTACTTTATATTTATCTATTTTATTTTTCTAATCTTTTTATTTTCTTTTTTATTTTTTATTATCTTTTTTTACCATCATTACTTATGTTTCTCATACCTTGTTATCTGGTTATTTTCTTAGCCCTGATGAAGGCCTGAACTTCAGGTCGAAACGTCGGCATATGTAAAAAATAAATATTATCATTTATTTTTGCCTTCCTTTTTGACTGACCATCCCAACTATTCTTCTCTTCAAAAACTTGAATACTTTATGAAGATGTTGCAATCATTATTAAATAAAATAGAAAATATGAGAAAAATAAAATCATTTAAACTTACAATTTAAACAGTTTGAAATAATCCTACTAACGAAAATAAGAAAAAACCTATTTACCTTATCAACATCAATAATTGATACAGGTAGCCATATTTTGATACACTGAAAATTAAGCACTATTCACTAACATTTTAATTGCATTCAGACTTTTAATAGATTACTTTTCCATTCCAAATATATTATTACGTTATTTGATTTAGGTTTTTATATTACCTTATTTATGATTCATGGGGATTTTGGTATAATATAATATATATGTAACTTCGTATAAGACAAACTGCAACTTTTGATACCTTTGTTTTTTCTGACCATTTGAAGTTTTATAGGTCAAATCACTAGTTTTATTCCCCTCACCTGTTATTGACACTCCATAAAAATTCACCACTCAATAAAAGTATGTTCCTCTCAAAATGTTGATATAATTAAAATATTTTTTAGGATTATGAATTTTTGAGAGGGGTAAATTTTTGTGGATTTTCAATTTTGTAGGACTTTCAAATCAGACTGCATGGGGAACACATAAAACAGAAAGAATATTTG